TTTCTCTAATGAGGCATTGCTCAAGAGCATGTCTAATAAATAGTAGAACTGGTTCTTAAACACAAGCTTTCTTTATCCACAAACTCATATTGTATGGCAGGGGGAGAGAATAGGCTTTACCTCATATGTAGAATAATTAGAATTGGGAATATTAATCTTGACTGCTGATACTAGCAAGCAATATGGAAACCTGCTTCTTTGTAACAAGATGTATTCGGATGATAGTCAAATAGAGGCTTATGTAGGAATGGTAAGCAAAAGGTTAAAAAGCAGTGGTTCTGGCAAGCACCCTGGCTCACAGCTGTAATCCCAGCACTTTCAAAGTGTTCCTTGAGGCCAGGAGTTTGAGATCAGCCTGAGCAAGAGTGAGATTCCCCTCTCAACAAAAAATCGAAAAGAAAAATTAGCCAGGTGTGGTGATGGGCACCTCCAGTCCTAGTTACTCAGGAGGCTGGTGCAAGAGGATCTCTTGAATCCAGGAGATTGAGGTTTCAGTGAGCTGTGATGAGGCAACTGCAGTCCAGCCTGGGTGACAGAATGAGACCCTGCCTCAAAAATAAACAAGGCAGGGTTTCCAAATTTTGCCTTATACCCAAATTACTTGGGGATCTGTAAAATGTGATGTGTGGCTCCCACAACATTCTGAGTTAACTGGTACGGGGCGTGACTAGGGCATCACAAATTTTTAAAATCTCCCCAGGTGATTGAAAGGTACAGCAATGTTTGACAACCACTGGGTTAAAGTTAAAGACTTTCATAACCTCATTTGCATTCACACACGTCCTTTATGTACATTTCCTCTGCTACAATCCCCAATTAGAAATCTGAAATAAAAGTACCCAAATGACGTCCCCCACACACTAGTCTTCACATCAGCGCCCACTATCCTCTGGAACACAGAGCATGAAGACTCCCCTCTTCTGACCTCCTCTTCCTCTCAGGCTTAGAAGTCTGTCTTTCTGGCTCCAGTTCTACTGGCAAAGATCAAGCTGGCAGGGTTAGGATATAGCTGTTTAAAGCCCTTGTGTCCTCAGCAGTGTCTGGACTTACATTTTTTGTTTTTCTTCCTTTGCACCATCCGTATTTATCAATTATTTCTAGAATGTCAATTCTCCCCAAAGCTTTATTGGTTCCTAAACGTCATCATCCTAAACTTAGTTTACAGCAAAGGGGAAAATCACAGACAGACTTGGCATGGAAGCTCAGTTCTACACACAACTACATTGGCTCTTGGGAATGGTCTCTCCAGGTCAAAACTCTGTGTAGTCACATGTAGCACAAAGGCCAAATCTCTTCATGAAATCTTTACTGGTCTGTGAATAAGATGTTATTTCTACTCAATTCGAGCTATTAGAAAACTAGATTAATTCAGCTGGAACACAGTCCAATTCCAGGGCATCGTATTCAAGAATTCTTAAATTCCATCAGTATTCTTTCCTAATACCGCAGTTTTGAGTGAGTTGCTTAACTTTCCTTTACACATTAGGATTAAACATAATGTATGCAAAATGTCTAATTCAGGGCCTAAAACACACTAGATATGGGATAAACAATAGCTATTATTACTTAAAAGCCAGGTCAGATTTTGCCTTATAATGTGGTTATTTTAAAACTTCAATAAGTATAATTTTAACTCATTTTTAATTATCTACAGTACAGATATATTCAGGAACGGGGCATTCATTAATGCATATTTAATTTTAATAAAATATTTAGCAGTAAGACCTTTTTATATTTAATTGACTAAAATTAGTAACATTTTCCTAGATTGCAGGAAAAGCAGCATATCCATGAACTCCACATAGCTGACATTAAAGATATGCTGAAATAATTTAGGGGTATAAGCGGTAGGACAATATTTACTCTCCATAGATTACTACTATGGAGAGGGGAGAGGATTAAACGCAGTAGGGGTGGTGGAAATGAGTTTTCTACACAGGGAGCCCTCTCAGTTGATAGACCAGCTACCACTGACTCTGTCCTTATAGCCTTAGAGGAACACAGCCAGACTGTGCATAGATAAAAAGGAGAACCCAGAAAGAGACGTGGGTTTATTCTCTGTTCTCCCATTACATTACTTCATGGGTCACACTCCACGCAAGATCCAGGAAGCTGATACAGTAGAACTTTTTCTCAGATTTTCTCAGATTTAAAATGTAACTGTGTAATACACGTATAACTCTATCAAAGGTGATGACTACCTTGATCCATCCCTAATGGCTTTTACTTTAGTGCCAACAGTGGAAACTAAATCAACCAGTGAAAGGTATGTGTTTAAAAATTCAAGAAAAAAATGCTTTCATAGAAATCTTGGCTGGTAAGAAAACGGTATGGAAGGGTACTTACGAGATTCAATATCATGGTGTATATTCCATAGACTTAACATAAATCATTAGTTCCGAGCTGACTTAACTTTTAGTAACAGTTTCTTACTTATCTGTTGTACAATTCTTTTTTTCCAGGAAGGCTAATAAAATATCTTTGCTTTCAAGAGAGTGACATTAAGATGCAATGCTAGTCACCGATTTGTTAAGTCTTGGAATTTTTATAAACTGCGTTACTTTCTTTAATAAAAGATTCAATTTTAGGTACAATACAAACAGCTCCGGTAATAATGCATTTGTCAATACAGCCACAATGCAGTTTTTTATTCTTCCGACTTAGGTAATATATAAGAAAAAGAAAATAGAAGGGACATTCTATGCCACCTAGATTCAAAATTATTTGTTCCAGAATTGCAAACACAACACAATATCTATACCACAATAGTACTTTAAAATGTTAAACTTTCACTGAAAACGTGAACAAATTGTCAAACTAGGACAATCCGTGGTGCAGTACGGTGGTTATTCAAAAAACAGTATCTCCGCTGGGTGTGTAAATCTTAAGCCTCTAGAAAAATGTAAAGATCAATTTAGTGAATGAGTCATCTAGCACATATTGGATAGAAAAGAAGAAAAAGTTCAAAATTTATGAGTTCTTTTCATCCCAATTGTTTCATGAAATCTAAACAAATAAGTTGACGGGCATAGTTATTTGTTCCAGTCCATTCTATAGAAGTACATATTTTAATTTTAAACCTGGCATCATAATTTCGAATATGTGTTGACCGTTAGAAATCCTATTCTTAAAAAAAGACTTTAAAAAAATCAAAATCCAGTTTAACACTTCCAAAGGTACATTATCCTAGCTTTCACCACAGTGAGAAACCTGAGCCAAAACTTTGACATCTACAATGGACAGAGAAGTTGTTGTCTTATCAGCTGTTTCACTTCCTCAGCAAACTCATCTCCCAGCTAAGTTTCCCTAGCTTTCTTCTGGCGCTGTGCTGACGGTCTATATATACCCAGGCCTCCAGTTGGGGGAAGCCCTTCGTAGCCAATCAGGTCTGCCCGGTCTATTGCGTCACACCTCCCCCCTGGGTGTGACGTCAAAGGCAATCCCAGCCCAGCCAAGTGGGCTGGAGAAATGCAGCCTTTCTGAGCAGCTGCTCTAAACACCCGTTAAACAGCAACGGTCCCATAGGGTGGGGAGCTGGGCAGGGAGGGGCCGACAGGGCTTCTACACGTTCCCTTGGGGGCGGACACAGCAGCTCGCTGGCCGCCGAGGCGCGCTCTGCCCGAGTCCCAGCCTTCAACGCTGACGTTCTGGGCAAGGAGAGAGAGACGCGGGGGGAAACTGGCACCTACGGCGGTGTAACAGGACCCGGGTCCTGGAAGCCCTCCTCCCCAGGCACCGCCCCTCTGCTCCCTGCGCCTCTTTCCAGAGTTAATTATCCTTTCAGCGCCGTTTCCCCTCGGCTGCGTTTCCGTGGCCAGAGGAAAAAGGCTTTCTCGCCTCCCATTTCTCACCCTCACACAGACCCTCCTTTCAGATCCGCCCTCCTGTTCACAGGGACCCATTTCGCAGCCCTGGCTCCCGCTGGGCGGGAACTGGCCTGACGAATTCCACCCAAGGTGTTGATTATCCATCCCGACCCAGACTCTGGCTTCCCTCCGGGCTCCCGCCGGCCCCTCGGCCCCTATCCCCCGGCTGGGCGCTCGGGACGGTCCCCCAGCTGCAGCCAAGGCAAGAAGCGGCGGCGTGCTCGGTGCCACGTCGGAACTGGCTCTCGGGACGTTGCAGCTGCCGCAGCGCAGCGCGCGGTCCCAACACACGCCCTGCCCCCGGGCCGCCGGCTGGCTGGCCCGGCTCGGAGGAGGGATGCGCGCCCTCCTCCTGCTGGTCCCTGCGAGCGCCACCGCCAGTGTCTGGGACCCCTGGCCAAAATGAGGCTTCCGGAGCTCAGCCGAGCCAGGACAGAGCCAGCCTGACACTTTAATGGGGTGCGGGAAGTGCAAAGGAGGGGAGGCCGGGGACGGGGCTGGGGGGAGGAGGAGTGGCCGAGAGGCCGGTAGCACCGCTGAGGTAACGGAGGACCCTCCTTCTCTGGGGTCCCAGAACCTTGGAGCTGAGAACTCTGATCGCTTAACCCTTTGTATTCCCAGCAAGAAGCGAGTTTCTCACTTAAAAACTTTAACTCGCTGGGCTGTTCAAGGTTTTCCTCCCCAGGTAGCGTGTGTGGGCCAAAAAAAAAAAAAAAAAAAATGGAAAGGGGTGGGAAGGTGAGGGGAAGGGGGGCGGCTGTGCGGAGTGCATTTTCCTTACACAGTGGAAATCCTTGTTACCTAACTCAGGAGCCCCTCTGACTCTCCGGAAGATGCAATGGAAAAGTACCTCTCGGGACGTGCAGCCTTTCCCAGGCAGAGAGGTTACCTGTGTCCCCAGAAAGGCAGCGGATTTCTGGCGAGAGGCGCAGATGTGAGAAAACGGATACGTTGCTAAGCCTGACGGTGAACTGAAATATTCCCTGATTTTCAGTCTGTTCGAAATTTTCAGACCGCCAACTTTTCTGCTAAAACTGACTTAATTTTTTTAACACTTGCGTCGCTAATTTCTTCCCTCTCCCTGGCCTACTTGAGGACCTTCATCGTTCACCAAAGTGCTCCAGTGTAACGTACCTTGTTCAGCTCTTGGTCATCAAGTCGTCCTCAGCCTGTCTGTGTGGTCCCGGAGGGTCGGTGGCGGGCAGTTTCCAAAATTGAGGTAATAAAAGATCAGATGAATTTGAGACGACCGGCCAGAAAAAATAAGAAATTTAATAACATCATTTAAAAAGGATGGGGGAGTCTTAAATGTTTGATTCTCCCCCACTTTAAAGGGAAATTTCACTAATGATTCGTTTTATCTTCCGTTGCACTTCAGTCTTCTAATTGTTTAAATAATTATCTGTGTTTTAAAAATAAATTAACTTTTTTTCTTTCTTTTTTTTTTTCGCTCCAGTCCCCCTTCCCCCGATAACGGAAAGTTTCTTTTTCGTATCAAAAAAAAAAAAAAAAAAAAAAATCCGGGTGAAAACTCAGAACTCAGGAAGCGCAGAATCGGGAGAAAAGTCTTTGGCTGGGGCTGGTTCAAGTCCCTGGTTCAATGGGCTGCTTGAAGCCAGGTCTGGGTAATTCTTTCCATACGTCTTGACTTCTCCTTCCTCGCGGTTGTTGCCTTTCTGCCTCCTCCAACTTAAGGGGGTCTTAACTAGTGAGCTGGTGGGTGTTTTAATAGGGAGAAGGAGGGGAGTGAGGGTGAGGGGAGTGGAGAGGGAGGTGTGGACTGGGGAACCCTGAGGGGAGGGGACCGGGAGCGCGGGCGGGAGGGCGGGCGGGAGGCGGGGAGGGGGAGAGGGAAAGAGAAATTGGCCATTCAAAGCCCTCTCTGAGCTAGAGGCCGGTTCTAAACTCCAATGAATTCAATTAACTTGATTGCTAACGTGTGCAGAGAAAGGCAGTGCGTACTTGGAGGCCACCACCTGATTCCCAGCTTTCCTGCGGGGGCGGAGGTGGGAGCCCCAACTTGGTCGATATCCCTGAGTTACAAGTTCTCACTAAGCGATAAATTCCCCGTTGTGTTTAAGTAATTTGTTTTAAAGCCAAATGGTGCCCTTAGGCTAAATAACCGCCCGGAGGAGGAACAGTTGGGGAGGATCTGTGTAAGCGACCGAGTGAGTACCTGGCGTCTCTAAGAAGGCTGGGACTCTAAAGCGACGGGTCTACAACTTGTTAACCCTTTCTTTCCTCAACTCAAACTTCTGAGCAGACATCAACGATCCAGCCTGCTTTACAGCCTCCTGTAGGTGGGCGGGAAAAAATTGTATTGTTTTGTTCAGCCTGGTCCCCTACCGAAAAAGTACAAAGCAGAATGCATTAAAAATTAAATATAAAATAATAGAATTGTTTTCTGGAGGGCTCACGTGTAACCATCTATCAAGAAATAGTTTGAAAGTAGCTTTTCCTCGTGAACCTTCTACAAAGGTAAAGCGTCAAAATTTTGTGTTCTGGCTTGGAGATGGCTTTTTCTTATTCTTACAATCCCCAAGCCTGATCATTTTCTTCATCGTCCCCCCACCTCCCCCCTGCCCCCGCCACCTTCCTTTTTGGTCCTTGCCAGTAAGTCTGCTGATGACTTAATGTGGACAGTAGGTGGCACTGTTTAGGAAAAAATGAGAGAGTTTAGAAATTACCGGTAACTGTAATAACTTAGTCTTTGGAGATTCTCCTGAAATTGTCGTAGGTTAAAAACGGGTTTCTTTCTTTCTTTTTCTTGTCCTTCAAGGCTCCGCTGAGGGGTGGACTTCTTTCGAACTCGACCAGATCTTGAAGACTAGATTCTTAGTCCTCATGACATATTTGGGCTATAATGAACAAGTTGAAACAGAAAAGTCGAATAAACTGGAAATGATGCTTTCAACACTTTGTAGGAGGTGTGGTGTTGGAGGGTGTGATTAGTGATCAAGAATTTTACTATAGTAGCAGGTAGCCAGTGATCCAGCTCCCCAGGGGCCGACCTGCAAAGAGCTTGGCGTTTCCGTCCCCCCCCCCCCCACACAGCGTTAACACTCTGGGAAGGCCTGAGGACTTCGCCCTGCTCAGTGGAAACCCACTTATTCATTTCCCTCAGCAACTTTCATGGCTTCAGCTTTTGTTTGAACTCTACTTTAGGTGGTTCAACTTTTGAGAGACTGGCTTAAATTTCAAAAAAACAATTTCATTCCACTTAATCAGACTGGAGCTTCCCGATGTCTCCTTTTCCAGTAGTTTTCAATTGCCAAATTATTATTTTAAATATGCTATCTTATTTCTAGGGTCTGCCATATAACATGGATTAAACTGATTTAGAGGTAGGATGGGTATTGTGGGGTGCTAAGTGTCCAGCTGTGAGACTCCAGGGGGACACTTAAACCTTCCAGCTCTAAACTTCCATGATTATTATGTTATGCAAGAATATTGATTATTACTCAGCAATAATTAACTGTTCCTATGCTAATAGTTCAAGCAATGAAAACATTTAGTAAAACTGGGTTTCTTTATTAAAGAAAAAACACATTTGCTGTTTCTCCCCTTGTATTTCATGACCTCAGAACAAAAGTAAAATGTTCTCTGACTATGGAGAGATATAATGGCGAATCATACATCTGTGACTTGACTTTCCCTCATTCCCTACCCTCTCCTAAGGCTACAGGGAAAGAGGCTATTAAGCACTATTTAAAGCCAGAGGTGGAAGTTCCTTGAAGGCAAAGAGAATCCCAGATAAGACAGACTGTAAATTCAAATCTTTCAGTGCTCACTTTGTGGGATCCGGGACACAGTTCACCTCACTGACTCTTGTAGATTGAATTATTCTACGTGTCTGCAGATACCTCCCAAACCTTCACATTTATCCCAACTTCTTTCTGAGTTCCCGGCTGAAATCATAGCTACGAGCCATCCAGTTAATTCATAAACACCAAATCAGGAAACATAAGTTCCAGTTTCATAAGTAAACTATGTCACGTCCCGAATGAATAACATTAGATAATGAATTTACATTTCAACTTTTTTTCTTTTCTTTTCCTTTTTAATCTCAACTCCTCGGCTCAAGTGATCCTCTCTCTTCAGCCTCCTGAGCAGCTGGGACTTCAAATAAGCCCCCTTACACCTGGCTAATTTATCTTTCTTATAGAGATAGGATTTGTTGGTCAGGCTGGTCTTAATCTACTGGCCTGAAGCAATCCTCCCATCTAGGCCTACTTAAAGTCCCAGGATTACTGACTTGAGTCGCTGGGCCCAGATAACTTTCTTTCTTAAGCATGAGTATTTATTACATCAGAAGATAACATCCTTTGATCCATCTCTTTCTGCTTTTGACATTCTAAAGCATACCTTCTCCAACCCATGCCTGGTTTTTGTTTTGTTTTGTTTTGTTTTGTTTGTTGGCCAGGACTGGATTTGAACCCACCACCTCCAGCATATGGGACTGGCGCCTTACTCCTTTGAGCCACAGGTGCCACCGCCCCATGCCTATTATTTTTTAGCTGTACAAGACAATAGAGCAAACAATTTTAGACACAGAAGGTTTTGCTCCTGCAAATGAGAGTTAGCAATATATTATTCCCTTATTCCCGATCTTCCTTCCACAACACTGAATAAATGTTCTTGTGTCTAAGAGACAAAGTATCCCTTGGTAGCCCTTGGTGCCTTAAATGTTTGTTAAACAATCGGTGACCTGAGACAGATTGATTAATTGGGCAAAAGGCATACACATTTATTTAACATGTATACACAGAGCCTTCAGAATGAAGTCCCACAGATACAGGGAAAATTGGGCATGTTTTATGCTTAGGTTCAACAAAGCATGGAGAACTATGTGGAAATATGATTGGACTAAAAGAGTATGATCTAATGTCAACAGATTGAGTGGGGAACCCCAGCAAGGCCTGTCAGTCTAGCTAGATTCTTCTTGGACTCTCTGAGTATGCACCCATCTTTTTGGGTGTGGGGCAGGACCCTTACTGGAATGAAGGTCTCATGACCCTTACTGGAATGAAGGTCTCTTGACTGAAATGAAGGTCTCAAACAACATAGGTCAGATAACTTCTTTATGGCTAATCATTACAAAGAGTAATTTTCGATTTTGTGGCTTTGGGGGAAAAGAGATTCTGGCTTTTATGACCTGAGGGATTCTACCCTCAGGAAAGAATGGGACTAAGAGTCAGAAGGACGTGAGAAGATCAGAGAAAAACTTTTGCCTCTGAGACCTTCATGTTAGGCTACTATTTTTTGAGCCCCAATGCTAACTTTGAAAGCGTGGAGAGATCTTCAACTTGGCTGCTGTTGGCTGAGAAGAATCAACATCATCAAAATGCCTATTCTCCCCAAAGCAATCTACAGATTCAATGCAATCTCCATTAACATACCAACATCATATTTTGAAGAACTGGAAAAAATAGAACTTCATTTTGTTGGAACCAGAAAAAACCATATAACTAAGGCTAATCTTGGTAATAAAAACAAAGTCAGAGGCATCACCCTACCAGACTTCAGGCTATATTACAAGACCACAGTAACCAAAATAGCATGGTATTGGCACAGAAATAGAGACATAGACATATGGAACAATACAAAACCAGGAGATGAAACCAGTCTCTACTTGCCATCCAACCTTTGATAAACCAAACGAAAGCATGCAGTGGGGAAAAGAATCCCTGTTCAATAAATGGTGCTGGGAGAACTGGATAACCACATTTAAGAGACTGAAACTCAACCCACACCTTTCACTCCTTACAAAAATTGACTCAAGATGGATAAAAGACTTAAATCTAAGATGGGAAACAATAAAAATCTTAGAAGAAAGTGTGGGGAAAACTCTTGATGTTGTACTAGAGAAAGATTTTATGACAAAGACTTCAGCAGCCATCACAACAACAACAAAAATTAACAAATGGGAATTAATTAAGCCAAAAAGCTTCTGCATAGCTAAGGACATGCTACAAGTAAAGCAAAAAGACAACCTTCAGCATGGGGAAAGATATTTGCAGGGTATCAATCTGACAAAGGGTTGATAACTAGATCTATAGAGAACTCAAATTAATCAGCAGAGAAAGAACGAACAATTCCATCTACCTCTGGGCAAGAGATATGAACAGAATCTTCTCTGACAAAGATAACCAAATGGCTAACAAACATTTGAAAAACTGCTCAGGGTCCCTGATCATCAAAGAAATACAAATCAAAACCACCCTGAGATATCACCTAACCCCAGGGAGAATAGCCCATATCACAAAATCTCAAAGCTGCAGATGCTAGCATGGAGGTGGAGAGAAGGGAACACTTTTATACTTCTGGTGGGACTGCAAACTAATAAATATAACCCTTTTGGAAAGAAGTATGGAGAACCCTCAAAGAACTCAAATTAGAAATCCCATTTGATCCTGCAATCCCATTACGAGGCATCTAGCCAGAAGAAAAAAAAAATGTTTTATCATAAGGACATTTGCACTAGACTGTTTATTGCAGCTCAGTTTACAATCTTCAAAGTGTGGAAACAGCGTAAATGCCCACCAAACCAGGAATGGACTAACAGGCTGTGGTATATGTACACCATGGAATACTATTCAACCATTAAAAAAATGGAGACTTTACATCTTTTGTATTAACTGGATGTAGGTAGAACACATTCTTCTTAGTAAAGCATCACAAGAATGGAGAAGCAAGAATCCAATGTACTCCATTCTAATATGAGATAGTAGATGGTTTAATACAAGGAGTAGGATAGGAGAATGAGAGATAAGAGC